GGGGTAGTAAACTAGGAGGAATATTCAAGCACGATATTGGGGATGTCTATAACGGAGAATGGATTGAGGGAGGCGTTGCCCACGGCTTCGGGTCTGTTGTGTATGCAGATGGATCCACGTACGAAGGAAGATGGGCATTTGGGAAGCGAAGTGGACATGGTAAAATGATCTATCCAAACGGTAGAGTGTATGAGACAGAATGGGAAAACGACGATTGTTTCACGTGGGGAGTAGACCTGCTTTCCCTAATCGAAAACATTACGTTATTTAACGACAACATGGAAGAAACAAATATTATTTCCTGTAGACACAAATATTTAAAACAATTGAAACAATATGTCAATGCAGAGATGGAGGCTTCACAATCTTTTCGATGGCCGTTAGAGAGATTTTCGACTATATTGGAAACAGTCTTGGATCATATACATCCAGAGCATATGAATCATTTTATCAATGACCTATATACAGATGGACGATATAAATGGAACCTCCTGCTTATTGCAGCTAAAGACGGTTATTGTAATATTACTGAAAGATTAATTAAAGAACTCAATGTTAATATTGAAGTGGAGGGCGTTGTTGAATATGAAAATTATATTATACGAGGAGCGAGTCCACTATGGTGTGCAGCGGCTTCTGGACATTTCAATATTGTTAAATTATTAGTTAGCTATGGAGCCAATGTCAATCACTACACTGAGACACATTCCACACCACTAAGAGCAGCGTGTTTTAACGGTAGATTAGACATCGTCAAATATTTAATTGAGCATGGAGCAGATCAGGAGATTGCAAATGTATATGATAATACATGTTTAATGATATCTTCCTATAAAGGTTGTTTAGAAGTCATTGATTATTTATGCAAAACGGGTTGTGATATAAATCGAAGCGATTATGAGGCTGTAACGGCGTTGCATGCAGCAGCCGGAGAAAATCACTTGCATATTGTTCAATGTCTTATTAAGAATGGAGCAATTATCAGTAAAAATTCGAAGGGATTGACTCCGTTATTAGAGGCGGCTTTGAATCTAAATGTATCTGTTGTTGATTACTTTACAGATGATACATCGAATTTATTCTCACAATTAGAGTGCATCGAAGCATTCGAATTACTTGCCACATCGTACACAGATTACTATGTCGATAATTCTAATACAGAGAAATTATATGAGTATTTGTTGAAAGCAATGCAGTTAAGATATTCAGATCCAAATAAACCGATTCTGAAGGCTGTCTTACCTCCATCAGAAACCTATGAAAATCATATTGAATGCAATACATTAGAAGAGCTTAAATTAATCCAACACAATGCTGATTCTTTATTCATGGAAGCATTTGTTGTTCGTGAAAGGATTTTAGGACCAAAACATGAAACATTAATTCCTAATCTTTTGTACAGAGGGGCTGCTTATGCCGATCAAAAGAGATTTGATCGATGTTTCTCATTATGGCTACGTGCACTAGATGTGAAAAAGTCGAACGATGAATTGAAAATTGACGATTTCGAAAGATTTGCCGGCATTTTTGACAAAATGTGCCATGAGGATGTTGATGATTTTCCTTTTAGTGTATATGTGGTTGTTTTGAGGAATATTATACAAGAACTAATATCGATGAAGTGTAAGAGTAAAAGCTTCAATTTATTGACAGTATTATATTTGATTGTTATCATAGCAAAGGTATATTTAGCAAGAAAAATAGTGAAAAAATAGCTGTTACTCAACTATTGTTTTTGTTGTCTGTATTTAGGTTATGCTATTGAAAACAACAAATGAACAAATAGAAATATGCAACCTTATTTATTATTTAAATTCTTTTAATTTTAAAACTAATAATGGATCTACATTGTTACATCTTTGTGTGAATGAAAATACGTCGGTGGATACTATAAATTTCAAGTAAGTATGACATCGACAGCAGCAATACCTCAGTTTACCACGTGAGTGTTTCAGATTTCCATGTTCATTTGGTGCAAAGTTATTGATTGACAATGGTGCAAATGTAAATGCTGTGGACAGAATTG